TAGCCAATATATATATCTTATATATCTTATATTATTATCTTATATATTGATTATCATCAATAGCCCTGAATCCATTTCGATCGTGTATATATGTGTATATTATATATCTTATATCATTGTCTTATATATTGATTATCATCAATAGCCCTGAATCCATTTCGATCGTGTATATATATGTGTATATTATATATCTTATATCATTGTCTTATATATTGATTATCATCAATAGCCCTGAATCCATTTCGATCGTGTATATATATGTGTATATTATATATCTTATATCATTGTCTTATATATTGATTATCATCAATAGCCCTGAATCCATTTCGATCGTGTATATATATGTGTATATTATATATCTTATATCATTGTCTTATATATTGATTATCATCAATAGCCCTGAATCCATTTCGATCGTGTATATATATGTGTATATTATATATCTTATATCATTGTCTTATATATTGATTATCATCAATAGCTCTGAATCGTGTGATTGTTATTGTGATATTGTGATATTGTGATGGTCGATGTTTACTATGCTGGCGGCTGCGTTGTAGATCCGCGGGCTGGATGAGTGGCTGTCTGACAGTGTGAGGCAGCACACGCTCGTGCGATGCCTGCCCGCAGACATCCGCACGCAGCTGCTCTACGCTCGCAAGTTCATCTTCTCCGTCCACGCGATCATCACGCGGCTCTGCTACATGGGCCTCGTCTCGTTCGGACCGCAGCAGCTCAAGGAGAAGGACCAGGTGGGTCACGCACGCGTGTGGTCTCATGTCTCGCTCCCTGGGGCACGCATCTCACTCCTCTGGGGCGCGCGTCTGCACGCATCTCGCTCCCCTGGGGCGCGCGTGGGCTCACGTCTCGCTCCCCTGGGGCGCGCGTGGGCTCGCGTCTTGCTCCCCTGGGGCGCGCGTGGGCTCACGTCTCGCTCCCCTGGGGCGCGCGTGGGCTCGCGTCTTGCTCCCCTGGGGCGCGCGTGGGCTCACGTCTCGCTCCCCTGGGGCGCGCGTGGGCTCGCGTCTTGCTCCCCTGGGGCGCGCGTGGGCTCACGTCTCGCTCCCCTGGGGCGCGCGTGGGCTCGCGTCTTGCTCCCCTGGGGCGCGCGTGGGCTCACGTCTCGCTCCCCTGGGGCGCGCGTGG